TGACCTGGTAAAAAGGGAAAATTATTTTAGAGCATATGTTAGTTTGGAATTAGTGAAGGAAACGTGGGCTAGAGATATTGTATTTCCGTCTCTCTCTGTCTCTCTTTTTCTGTCTCTCTCTTTGTCTCTCTCTCTCTCTTTCTGTCTCTCTCTCTCTCTTTCTCTCTCTCTCCCCGTTATCTTTCATACACACAAACACAATACACAACAGACCAAGTATCTCTATCGACAAGCGCCTGTGACAACTAGTAACTAACCAAAACACAGTGCCAATTTTGGTTTGGCAGCACACGTCAGGCACTTATCTAATAACATCTGTGTTCAACACACATCCAGTGCCACTAAACACACCTGTGCTTGTCCTTGCTCACCTGTTTAGCGCACCTGTACACCATGACTGACGGAGCAGTGACCACTACATGCAGTGTCGTGTCTGATACACTGCTTGCTAATAATAATTACACTCCTTTTATATTATTATTGTTATTATTATTATTACTGTTATTGTTGTTATTGGTATTATTACTATTATTATTATATCACTGTTATTATTATTACTATTGTTATTATTATTACTGTTATTATTATTACTGTTATTATTATTATTATTATTATTATTATTATTATTATTATTATTATTATTACTGTTCTTATCATTACTACAGTTATCATTATTGTAGTTATTATTATTACTGTTATTATTATTATTGTTATTATTAAGTTCCAGCACAGTCACACACGGACACACACTGACACACACTGACACACACTGACACACGGACACACACGGACACACACTGACACACGGACACACACATGACACACGGACACACACGGACACAAAGACACACACGACACACGACACACGGACACACGGACACACACTGACACACGGACACAACGGACACACACTGACACACGGACGCACACGGACACTACGGACACACGGACACACACGACACACGGACACACACTGGACACACGGACACACACGGACACACACTGGCAACACGACACACACTGACACACGGACACACACGGACACACACGGACACACACGGACACACACTGACACAACGGCACACGGACACACACTGACACACGGACACACACGGACAACGGACACACACGACACACACGACACACGGCAACGCACACGGACACACACTGACACACGGACACACACACGGACACATTCCACCTGTACATAACTCGGACCAGATAGTCAATATTTTCGACATTCAATTGCATTCTTCACATTTATTTTTAATTTAACCCAGAGTCCAGCATTGAATCCCCATTATTTCGTTTGAATTATTATTGGTGTTTTAAAACATACACCGGACGCGTCACAGGTAACTGCTTTAAAACACACACTGTTTATCGTGACATGCTACCACCGCCCTCCCACCCTCCATCCCACCTTCCTATCCACCACCCTGACCCACGTATCTCACAGCCATCGCCTAGTGCCACGGCGACTGTGACTTATCCGTGGTACGGTCAGGCCCACGCTAGACACCATCAGGCAGAACCAGGGCAGTTACCAGTTGGTGTTGAGGAGAAAGACCCCCACTGACTCGCCAGCACCTCACGTTTTTTGCTCCCCTCAGTCTGTGTTAAACAAGGGGGTGTGAAGGAAACAAATGAGCCACATACCGCCCCCAGTCTCACCTACCCGCGGAAGGTACGCGATAGATCTCGCTTTCCTGATACGATAGAACACAGGAGAGAGTAGAAGACCAAAGTAAAATACACTGACTCATCTCTTCGTCTTGTTCTTCTCTCCTTCGATCTATTTTCTCCGGTTTTGACTGTTGACAAGGAGGCAAGAGCAGACGGGGAGAGGAGAGGAAAGGAGTACATTTCTAATACACAATCGCAATCACCTATCATCCTCGTCTATTCTACCTTCCCTTACAATACTCCAGCTGGCTTCTTTCCCCTTCAACCTTCACACTGCTAATTTTCAATACACCCTCCCCTTTCACCCCCTCCCTCTTCTACCCCCTCCCCCTTACAAACACTCCAGCCTGGCTTCTCCTTGCACTCTACACACTCAGCCGTACGCACTCACAACAGGAGAGTGCACTCACACTCCACCTACGGAGCACTCAAGTACCTCGATGGTCTCTTCAGAGGCAGGTGAAGAGTGCACCTGCACTCACCATGACTCAGGTGAGTGCAGGTGCATGTCTGTGAGTAGCAGGTGAATGTAAGATTCAGACCAGTGTCTGTAAGGGATAACTATTCACCTAGAAGGATACAAGTCACCTAGAGGGATACAGGAGTCACCTAGAGGGATACACAGGGATACACAGTCACCTAGAGGGATAGTCACCTAAAGAAATACAGAGTCGCCTAGAAAAATACAGGAGTCACCTAGAGGGATACAGAGCCACTTAGAGGGATACAGCAGTCACCTAGAGGGATACAGAGTCACCTAGAATGATACAAGAGTCATCTAGAGGGACACAGAGCCACCTCGCGGGATACGGAGCCACCTAGAGGGATACAGCAGTCACCTAGAGGGATAAAGCAGTAGCCTAGAGGGATACAGAAGTCACCTACAGGGATACAAAGTCACCTACAGGGATACATTGTCACCTAGAGAGAAACAGAGCCACCTAGAGGGATATAGAGCAACCTAGAGATATACAGTCACCTAAAGAGATACATAGTCACATAGAGGGAGACAGCAGCCACTTAGAGGGATACAGACTCACCTTAGAGGGATACAGAGCCACCTAGAGGGATACAGGAGTCACCTAGAGGAATACAGAGTCACCTAGAGAGACAGCGTCAGATAGAGGGATACAAAAGTCACCTAGAGGGATACAAAGGTCACCTAGAAGGATACAGTCACCTAGAGGGATAATTCAGTCACCTAGAGGGATGCAGGAGTCACCTAGAAGGATACATAGTTACCTATAGGGATACAGAAGTCACTTAGAGGGATACAAAGTTACCATGAGGGACAGAGTCACCTAGAGGGATAAAGAGCCACTTAGAGGGATATAGATACACCTAGAGGAATACATCTAGAGGGAAACAGTCAGCTAGAGGGATACAGTCATCTAGAGGGATACACTTAGAGATATATAGAGTCACCTGGAGGGATACAGCCACTTAGAGGGATACAGTCAGCTAGAGGGATACATGTGTGTGTGTGTGTGTGTGGTGTGTGTGTGTGTGTGTGTGTGTGTGTGTGTGTGTGTACTCACCTAATTGTGGTTCCAGGGGTCGAAACTCAGCTCCTGGCCCCGCCTCTTCGTTAAACGCTACTAGGTCAGACTTGACTTTCGATGCTATGTTTTCGTACTGTCGCTGGGCCTCCCTCCTTATCTGTGCATACTCACTTTCTGGCTCTTGGACTAATCTCATTATTTTCCTGGGTCCTTTGTCTTCTGTACTTTTTCCATTCTCTAATGCACTTAGTTTTTGCCTCCCTACACCGTCGGGTAAACCAGGGGCTCGTTCTGGTCTTCCCATTATTTCTGCTGCCCTTGGGAACAAACCTTTCCTCTGCCTCCCTGCATTTTGTTGTTACGTAGTCCATCATTTCGGTTACTAACTTTCCTACCAATTCTCTGTCCCAATGAACTTCCTGAAGGAAGTTCCTCATACCTGTGTAGTCCCCCCTTTCATAGTTTGGTTTTTCCCATTCAATTCCTGTTACCCTCTCCACTTGTAACTCTGCTATGTATTCAAAGCACAGAACCACGTGATCACTAGCTCCAAGGGGCCTCTCTTATGTGATGTCCTCAATGTTTGAACTGCTCAGGGTGAATACGAGACCCATTCTTGTTGGTTCATCCTCCCCTCTCTCTCTGGTAGTGTCCTTAACTTGTTGATGCATGAGGTTTTCCAGTACCATATTCATCATCTTGGCTCTCCATGTTTCAAGACCCCTGTGTGGCTCCCAGTTTTCCCAATCGATCCCCCTGTGGTTGAAATCGCTCATAACCAGTAACTTTGCTCTTGCCACCTCACCCAGTGTGTCCACCATTGCTCTGCTGTTCTCTTCATATTCCTGTGTGTTCCCCAGACTGGAGTGTACCTTTCTCCAATCTCGTCTATGCCTTCCATTTCCTGAATTCTCCATCGGTTTTTCACGAGCAGTGCAACCCTCCTCCCCCTCTGCTCCTTCTATCTTTCCTCAGGATCTGATATCCTGGTGGGAAGATGGCATCTGTTATTGTCTCAGTGAGTTTCGTTTCTGTGACTGCTATGATGTCTGGGGACTTCTCAATGATTCTTTCATGTCACTCCTCATATATATTCGTTATTCCATCCGCGTTCGTATACCAAACTTTGAACTTTTCTACAACTGTGGTCCTGGGAGAATATTGGGGTTGAGGGAGTGGGAACCCTGGCAGGACTGATAGGGGGGTTGTGGTGGGGATGGGGTCAGGGTACCAGTAGGGGGTTGCTGTAGGGGTGAGGTTTGTGTGTGTGTGTGTGTGTGATTTTCTGCGTTGGGTATGGGGGGATTTATCCCTTCACCCTGAGGTTTGGTCCCAGACCAGACCTCCCTTGGTTACACCGTCCCTTAAGTATAATTCTAATTAAAATGTAGCCTTTAAATCCCGAGATTAAATCCAGCTCTTTAAATCCCGAGATTAAATCCAGCTCATTAAATCCTGAGATTAAATCCAGCTCTTTAAATACCGAGTTTAAATTCAGCTCCTTAAATCCCGTATTTAAATCCAGCTCTTTAAATCCCGAGTTTAAATTCAGCTCTTTAAATTCCGAATTTAAATCCAGCTCTTTAAATCCCAAGTTCAAATACGTCTCGTAAATGCCGAGTTTAAATCCAACCTGTAAATCCTGAGTTTAAATCCGTCTCGTAAATCCCGAGTTCAAATCCAACCCTTAAATCCCGAGTATAAATCCAACCTTTAAATCCCGATTATAAATCCAGCCCTTAAGTCCCACTCAACTTCTTGTGAGTCACAGACGGATTAATTGATCTTGAAAGTCAAATCGACAGTACTCACCATCATCATTCTGTCTACGTGTGCAGCAGGAAGAGGCACAGCCTGGTGGATCAGCGCTCATAGAACTCTACTTGGAGGGACGGCCGACCTGTCAGAGAGAGAGAGAGAGAGATAATAAAGAGAAATTTGGTACGATCATTTGAAAATACATTTGTGAATTCCTTCTTTCAAAATATGTCCCTGGACTCCTTCTTTCAAAGTGCATTCCTGTATTTCTTCTTTCAAAGTGCATTCCTGGATTCCTTCTTTCAAAGTGCATTCCTGGATTCCTTCTTTCAAAGTGCACTCCTTCTTTCAAAGTGCATTCCTGTATTCCTTCTTTCAAAGTGCATTCCTGTATTCCTTCTTTCAAAGTGCATTCCTTCTATTCAAAGTGCATTCCTTATTCCTTCTTTCAAAGTGCATTCCTGTATTCCTTCATTTCAAAGTGCATTCCTGGCCCTAATATCCTTCTTTCAAAGTGCATTCCTGATTCCTTCTTTCAAAGTGCATTCCTGGATTCCTTCTTTCAAATCATTTGTGATTCCTTCTTTCAAAGTGCATTCCTGTATTCCTTCTTTCAAAGTGCATTCCTGTATTCCTTCTTTCAAAGTGCATTCCTTCTTTCAAAGTGCATTCCTGTATTCCTTCTTTCAAAGTGCATTCCTGTATTCCTTCTTTCAAAGTGCATTCCTGGATTCCTTCTTTCAAAGTGCATTCCTGTATTCCTTCTTTCAAAGTGCATTCCTGTATTCCTTCTTTCAAAGTGCATTCCTGTATTCCTTCTTTCAAAGTGCATTCCTGGATTCCTTCTTTCAAAGTGCATTCCTGTATTCCTTCTTTCAAAGTGCATTCCTGGATTCCTTCTTCAAAGTGCATTCCATGGATTCCTTCTTTCAAAGTGCATTCCTGTATTCCTTCTTTCAAAGTGCATTCCTGGATTCCTTCTTTCAAAGTGCATTCCTTCTTTCAAAGTGCATTCCTGTATTCCTTCTTTCAAAGTGCATTCCTGGATTCCTTCTTTCAAAGTGCATTCCTGGATTCCTTCTTTCAAAGTGCATTCCTGTATTCCTTCTTTCAAAGTGCATTCCTGGATTCCTTCTTTCAAAGTGCATTCCTGTATTCCTTCCTTCAAAGTGCATTCCTGTATTCCTTCTTTCAAAGTGCATTCCTGGATTCCTTCTTTCAAAGTGCATTCCTGTATTCCTTCTTTCAAAGTGCATTCCTGGATTCCTTCTTTCAAAGTGCATTCCTGATTCCTTCTTTCAAAGTGCATTCCTGATTCCTTCTTTCAAAGTGCATTCCGGGATTCCTTCTTCAAAGTGCATTCCTGTATTCCTTCTTTCAAAGTGCATTCCTGGATTCCTTCTTTCAAAGTGCATTCCTGGATTCCTTCTTTCAAAGTGCATTCCTGTATTCCTTCTTTCAAAGTGCATTCCTGGATTCCTTCTTTCAAAGTGCATTCCTGGATTCCTTCTTTCAAAGTGCATTCCTGGATTCCTTCTTTCAAAGTGCATTCCTGGATTCCTTCTTCAAAGTGCATTCCTGTTTCCTTCTTTCAAAGTGCATTCCTGGATTCCTTCTTTCAAAGTGCATTCCTGGATTCCTTCTTTCAAAGTGCATTCCTGGATTCCTTCTTTCAAAGTGCATTCCTGGATTCCTTCTTTCAAAGTGCATTCCTGGATTCCTTCTTTCAAAGTGCATTCCTGGATTCCTCTTCTTTCAAAGTGCATTCCTGGATTCCTTCTTTCAAAGTACATTCCTGGATTCCTTCTTTCAAAGTGCATTCCTGGATTCCTTCTTTCAAAGTGCATTCCTGGATTCCTTCCTTCAAAGTGCATTCCTGGATTCCTTCTTTCAAAGTGCATTCCTGGATTCCTTCTTTCAAAGTGCATTCCTGATTCCTTCTTTCAAAGTGCATTCCTGATTCCTTCTTTCAAAGTGCATTCTGGATTCCTTCTTTCAAAGTGCATTCATGTATTCCTTCTTTCAAAGTGCATTCCTGTATTCCTTCTTTCAAAGTGCATTCCTGGATTCCTCTTCTTTCACAGTGCATTCTTGGATTCCTTCTTTCAAAGTGCATTCCTGTATTCCTTCTTTCAAAGTGCATTCCTGGATTCCTTCTTTCAAAGTGCATTCCTGGATTCCTTCCTTCAAAGTGCATTCCTGTATTCCTTCTTTCAAAGTGCATTCCTGTATTCCTTCTTTCAAAGTGCATTCCTGGATTCCTTCTTTCAAAGTGCATTCTGGATTCCTTCTTTCAAAGTGCATTCCTGTATTCCTTCTTCAAAGTGCATTCCTGGATTCCTCTCTTTCACAGTGCATTCTTGTATTCCTTCTTTCAAAGTGCATTCCTGTATTCCTTCTTTCAAAGTGCATTCCTGGATTCCTCTTCTTTCACAGTGCATTCTTGTATTCCTTCTTTCAAAGTGCATTCCTGTATTCCTTCTTTCAAAGTGCATTCCTGGATTCCTCTTCTTTCACAGTGCATTCTTGGTTCTCTTCATGTTCCTTATCTTCTTTCAAAGTGCATTCCTGGATTCCTCTTCTTTCACAGTGCATTCTTGGAATCCTTCTTTCAAAATATATTTCCGACTTCTCACTTTTAAAGTATATTCCTCAATTCCTCCATATTTTCTCAACATATATACTTCGGCACAAACATGTCAATTTAAAAAATAAATTCTACAGTCTAATGTTGTTTTGGCTGGTTTAGATGTTCGGGTTTCAAGCCTATCTACTACACGAAGGTCATTAAGGCTGTACTTGACCTGTCCACCACCAGTCACGAATACTTTCTTACCTTACAACAGATTGTATATACACTGAGATATACACGAGACGGTGTGTATATACAGTGATATGCATAAATAGATGTGTATACCTTATCCTGTATATATACCTATCATATATGTATATATATATATATATATATATATATATATATATATATATATATATATATATATATATATATATATATTTCCCTATCCTATATATATAGGGAATATTAAAGAGAAAACTGGACAAGTTGCTCAAGACAGTCCCTGATCAGCCAGGCTGTGGTGCAGAGGGTGGAGTGCCAGCAGACAGCACTAACAGCCAGGTGGATCAGGTCTTGATCCACCTAAATGTCTGGTCTGGAACCGGATCGTGGGTCATCTTCAAGTAACCTTCAGGTAACCCATTCTCTTCCCCATTCCCACACCTCCTCCCCATCACCCATTCCTCCCCCATTACAACACATCCTCCTTCCCCATTACCATGCCTTCCCAATCAATCCCTGCTATTCCCACACATTCCTCTCCCCATTCTTACCCTCATTCTCACACCTCTTCCCCATCACCCATTCCCACACGTCGGCCACACTCCACTCGCCCCATTAGCATAGCGGAAAAATCGTGACTCCTCTCTTTCCCATTCCCCCATTTCCTCCCATTTCCCATTCTGCTCTTCTTCCCGTTCCCCTCTACCACCAAGCCCTGGTCTTCCCGTTCCCCTCTACCACCAAGCCCTGGTCTTGCCGTTCCCCTCTAACACCAAGCCCTGGTCTTGCCGTTCCCCTCTAACACCAAGCCCTGGTCTTGCCGTTCCCCTCTACCACCAAACCCTGGTCTTGCCGTTCCCCTCTACCACCAAGCCCTGGTCTTGCCGTTCCCCTCTAACACCAAGCCCTGGTCTTGCCGTTCCCCTCTACCACCAAGCCCTGGTCTTGCCGTTCCCTCTTACCACCAAGCCCTGGTCTTGCCGTTCCCCTCTAACACCAAACCCTGGTCTTGCCGTTCCCCTCTACCACCAAACCCTGGTCTTCCCGTTCACCTCTACCACCAAGCCCTGGTCTTCCCGTTCACCTCTACCACCAAGCCCTGGTCTTCCCGTTCACCTCTACCACCAAGCCCTGGTCTTCCCGTTCCCCTCTACCACCAAGCCCTGGTCTTCCCGTTCCCCTCTACCACCAAGCCCTGGTCTTGCCGTTCCCCTCTACCACCAAGCCCTGGTCTTGCCGTTCCCCTCTAACACCAAGCCCTGGTCTTGCCGTTCCCCTCTACCACCAAACCCTGGTCTTGCCGTTCCCCTCTACCACCAAGCCCTGGTCTTCCCGTTCCCCTCTACCACCAAGCCCTGGTCTTGCCGTTCCCCTCTAACACCAAGCCCTGGTCTTGCCGTTCCCCTCTACCACCAAACCCTGGTCTTCCCGTTCACCTCTACCACCAAGCCCTGGTCTTCCCGTTCACCTCTACCACCAAACCCTGGTCTTGCCGTTCACCTCTACCACCAAACCCTGGTCTTGCCGTTCCCCTTTCTAACCATCCCCATTCCCCCCTTTTCCTTTTTCTCTCTTTTCATTCCTTCATTTACTTTCATTATCTTAATTTTTCTTCTTTCGTTTCCCTCTTTTCTCCTCTCCCCCACCCATGAGTGAGGGGCAATTATTTATGAGGAAATAATGGGTGTTTTCACGTTTCTCTCTCTTTCTCTCTCTCTCTCTCTCCTCACCTTCTCTCTCATCTCTCTCTCCTTCTCTCCTCTCCCCTCTCTACTCTCTCCCTCTCCTTTTCTCTCTTCTCTCTCTCTTCTCTAGGGCTCCTAGCTTTATTTACAAGCTAAGAGCTGTTACCTACATCTATGTGTTTCACAGTCTTACGGCTATGAGAGGCACAGAGAGGGGAGAGGGTGAAGTTGGAGCCATCTGTGGGTCAGTTGACTTTATCTCGCTGATGTTGTTATGCTTTACAAACGTGTTCCAAACTCGAGTCATCCTGGGAAGAGATAATTCTCTCTCTTTCTGTATCACATTATAATCAGTGACAAACACGTAACAATATGTACTAGACATGTATCTCTCACACCTCATGCGCTGTATATGCCATCTTTATATCAACAATGTATCTCTTAAATCTTTTGTACTGTATTATGTAATAAAATATACCTATTGATTATATATATATATATATATATATATATATATATATATATATATATATATATATATATTATATATATATATATATATATATATATATATTCAAACAATCGCAGACAGGCGATCTTAATAATGCAAGACAAGCTACAGGAGGGGGCGGATTTTTAGCTCAAGTACTTTCACAC